TCGATTCGTGAAACACCCCTAGTGGCAAGTATTGATATTGTGTATGCAATTTGGGATTTTTTAGATTGCTATTTGATTTTAAAACTTATGTTTGGATGGTTCTTAGGATTTGGTTTGTTGATTTATGCAAAGTGTAGAAGAAAATAATTGAATATACTATATTTTTCTTTTTTAATTTTGTACAAAAGGACACGAAATAGTAAAAGTATGGGAGGTATATATAATTTTTAAAACTTAAGAGGAGCTCTTTGTAATTGTAAAAAATGTCAGGGGAGATTTGTGAAATTATCCCTTTTTTTTACCTCCCACCCCTACTCACAGTCTTTTCCTTTGTAATTGTCAAACTTGAATTCAATAAAAACTCTAAAAATCCTCCCCTAACCACTGAGCCCTCCTCTTCACACCTTCTTGCTACTATAAAACACAAATTTGTCAGACATGCCGTTAAGTAAAATTCTGAAGAGGAGGAAAGAACATGCTAACTTGAATTATGTCCACAATGACACATTAGGGAAGGATCATGAGCAAGCCAAGTTTATATAAAAAGAGTAGAAATTTAGTTAAAATAATAACAACTGTGTAGACTTTAAATAATTGAGGAGGTGTTGAGGCTCCAGACTGCCTCCATTATTTATGATCATGGTGCATGGTACAGCGAAATACAGCCCAATGAAATGTCAAGTAGAATTTTTATTTTTTTTTGTGTGTGTGGTTTTAAATCAGACCCTGATAATTGATTGTGTTTCTTATATACATCTGCTGCATTAGACCGTAATGTGGCCCGCTGCTCAAGTTCCAAATTGACTTTAAGCAAATGAACAAATTACAACTTGCAAAAGCACTATAGAAAATAAGAAGAAGGGATATCTTTTGAGTTATCGACCAAAGAGGAACTTCACAAAGAAAACAAAAACAGGGATTACAAGACCACTTTATTGAAGCTTAATTTAATAGGGTACCCCCACCCCTCCCCCCCCCAACAAAAGAAGAACAGAAGAAAGAATAATAGTTTTGCTTCAAACATCTGACTTTGCTGATTTAAATGTGGCCATGAGAAAATTGGAAATTAATCTTATACTCAAAACAAAAACAGCTCATTTAGTTCCACCTCCTAAGTCGGTTGCAAGCATGAATAAGATCAATATAAACATACGGAAAGAGTAAATAATTTGATCAATTGAAATTTCGGATACATATTAACCACATATACTTTTCTTCATCATCGAGGATGATCAATATTAAGATTACATAAACATAGAAAACCAGCATTCTTCATATGATCCCAACCCCGCATCGATCCAAAATAAGCTTCACAAGTACATCCAAGTCCAGACCCCATAGCACAATTAAACTTACCAAGGAAAAGACACCCTTAATTTGCTTCAATCATTCAGTCTTCAATAAATTAAAACTCCATCTCTCTTTCCTTTGCTGTTTGTTCTTCTTCGACCGCTACCATCAAGTGCACTTGTACTATTATTTCCATCGTTGAAGATCAGGGGCAAGTCGTTGGAATCATCAGTATCATCCACAGTTGCTATACGGATGCAAGAACATCTATCTAAGGAAGCAAAGAATGCGCTAGCAACACCATTTATTATCCACATGGCCACCCCATCAAGCCTTCCGCACCCTGGTGAACAACCGTGGTTATTTGGTGAAGATCGGGCCATCTTGGTCTCGACTGAAGTGGCTCCGTGGTTGAAGCAGGTGGCGCAGCTACTTGAGGAGCTGGTTGTTGCTGCCATGGATTGGAAATATCACAAGTCTGCTAGCTTCTTGGTTGTTTGATGGCAGCAGATGAAGGAGAATATGAGATGGTGAGAGAAGATATTTATCGAGCTGTCTTGAGTGTTTTTTTTCTTTTTTGGGTGAAAAGCTGTCTTGAGTATTCACTACACTCTTTTAGAGATCAAATCTTGAATTCTTGACTGAGGATTTATAAGGAGTCTAATTTTATTGTCTAGGCATGGCCTTACTGGATGTGTGAAATTACAAAATAGTTGTATTGGCAACGCAAAATGGTGTCATCATTAGAGGTTTTAGTGGCGCTAATTAATGAATGGATTAGTTTGGCAAGTGAGATCTCAGAGCGCGTTTGGTAGCTAATTATTAACAGTTATAAGTGGTGAAAGGGACATATTTTGCATGTATACAGCCATGACAAAACACATTTTATACATATATACGTTTGTGCAGAGGCATATAAGTACAGCAATATGAAAGTCCATATGCTTGCATGAAAAATATGACAAATTAATTAAGTGATGGTTATTGGTTATTTTCAAGTGTAATTTAGCCCGTTCTGGTTTGTTTGAATAGAGTATTTGAAATAATTACTATAGGAATTTTTTGATGTGATGTATGTGAGATAAAAAAGTGGATTAGGAAATATGTTTATGATGCAAGCAAAATATTATTTGAAAAATTTTGATATACAAGCGTAGCATTTTAGCTAGATCTTTAAGTTGTAGAATCATTGTGGAAAAATTATTCTGGTTTTGTTTTCTTGTTTCTTTTCTAGTCAAACCCTTAAAGGTCTTTCTCTCCATATATATATATATAAGGAATGAGAGCTTGAGAAAATATAGAAGGGTTTTTTTTTTCTTTTTTTTTGAGGGTAGAAAATAATATTGAAGGTTCAAGAGAAGGAAAAAAAAGAGGTGAAGAAAAGGGTAACTTTGTCCCTAAAGAAATATCCACAGATTAGTAAACAGGCACGTCAGTCTCGCACCATAGATTAAGCCATACATGAGAAATAATGGAAAGGTGTGGACGAGACATGGAATAAAAAAGAACAAGCGTGTCCAACATTATGATGAGAGTCAAGCGTTAAAGTGTTTTTCATCATTGGGATTAGCCTCTACAATTTCATTTTAGAATAACAAAATTTTTCTTCTTTGTATATAAGATCTGTTGTAGACCCATGTAATGTAAGTGTTGATATTTTAAATATTGGGATATATTACTAGCTATTGATAAACAAGAAAAAAAGAAAGGGTATATTTGAGTAATACATGTATACATTAATTAGGGTTCTTCTTCTCCTTTTAACTTTTAAGATCATGCTCGTGGCCGGCTCTCTTCAGCCCGCAAACCATGTCATGCATCAATATATGAACATGGAATTTAGATCTCACTACCTTAGGAATACTCACCATGTATATGTATATGTATATCTTGCAAATTAACAACACTGGATATGGCCATGGGCCATGAATACGACGCAATGCATCTGAGAATACAATTTCATGTCAACAAACAAACTACCTGCTCCCACGCATAATTGGGAGTTGAAACATTTAGTAATATATTGCCATAAATAGAGTACAATGAATGGTCCAATTGAGAATGAAGTTTTATTTATTCAAGTGATCAATCCCTAGTTAATTTAGGTGATGTAGATATAATTGGTCGATGATACCAAAACCACCACTAGATGGCCATATGTATATATTTGCCTATTCTGCTTCTTCATGCTCATCTACAAGCATATACCGGCATACAAATACATCATTTTGGAGTCACATATACAGAAACCAAAATTTTGAATACTCCTAATCAACTATGACGCAAGGCTATTATTATCCCTCACTCACCATCTGTGTGAATTACTTGTAATTAATGTTATTGAGCTCAAAATTGTTTGCATTTTCACACTGTTGGATTTCTCTAATTTTGTCACAGGTAAAAAAAAAAAAAAAAAAAGACTGAGAACCCTAATTTGCAAATTTCTAAACTCTTTCGCATGGCAATTAGAAAATAAAAATGACTGGGAACCCTCATTCTCAAATTTGAAAATCTCTCTCGCTTCCTAAGAAGTATGGGAGACTATGATTAGACGATCGAACTATTTGGTGCTAATGTATATTAATGATAAAAGAGAAATTCTACTCGAAGCAACTATACGATAGACGCAAGTTAGAAGATTTTGCAGTCTCCACCTCCTGATCTTTAAGAGTTTTTATGTTTGTGTCTATCACATAAACATATTGTTTTAAAGTCATTTTGTGTAGATAAACTCTGATGATAACAACATTTCATAATTTAATTGTTAATATCATTAGTTACTAAATTTTTATTGCAAATATGAAACCTCATTCGAAAGAGTAATTTCCAATTCAAGTCTCATTGATAAGTGGTTACTAACTGCTGTTTGCATGACTAAATTAGGTCTGTCAACGGTCCGGGCCTAGACCCACTAGTTTGGGCTTCTGCGATTATTGCCTTAAAAGCTAGTCTTGGGCTGTTTGTCCTACCCACTAGGTTGATACTCAAAAGCCCAAGCATTCCTATTACTGGATCAGTAAGAAAGCCATTTGATATTTGAAACCTCTCCATGGATCAAGTTTCAAAACTGCTAGGCCCACTAAGGAACCACATAAGCACACAAATCAAGGGCTTGGCCCGACATGTCAATAGAACATATTCACCCAAACTCAATATAATCAGTGGAAATCTTAGTCAAAAAAATTTTTTTTAAGTGTAAGTGTGAGATTTCGAATTCGAAATCTTTCACTTACACTCCCTCATCTGTACCATCCAAATCGTCCCTCCCTATGAAAATATTAGTCAAGTAATCGTGAAGCTTTTAGTTTGAATCTCGTCTCGTCTATTTTCTCACTTCCCATCCAAAAGTCTTTGAGTATCCTTTAGAAACAAAAATAGATTCACCATAACAGGAAATAAGAGTTTGAAGTATCATTCAATTGGTTCACCAAAATTAAATGAGTTGTATGCTTTGATCAACAACATACTAAGTTGCGTGCGACATGATTCACGAGATCAAGTATCTAGCATTGAGAAATGATAGTACATCTCCCCTTTTTTTTTGGGTCTAGTGAATATCAAACAGAGTAAAGGATGGCCCATTATAATGATCTTTAAGGTCGGAAAGTTTGACTCTTCCAAATGGCCCAAATCTAATTCTCAGCATTTAGACCAATTCGATAAAATGCTTTGTACACGACAGCTTTGTCTTAGGCTGGCAATCTCATTTCCGTTTAATTTCCTCCCTTCTTTCCCGTAAAAGATATTTCCTTCCTTCCGACCCAAATCAATCAGAATTACTAATATTTGATCTGGTTATTTTACCCCCCAAAATAAAAATGTCAAAGCAAAATGCCATCTTCATTGTAGCCATTCTGCTGTTACTCACCGTTACATGTACGGCTCGCGGTGATCCTTCTCTGCTGAAAGCCCTTAAAGAGGTACTGGCCATCCTGCAGATTAATAACTATGCTTGATTCCTTCCCCTTTTTCTGGGGTTTATTTTTTCGTTTTATTATTTTGATTTTTTTTATTGTTTAATAACTCTGTTGTAGAATCCTGAGGCGGAGAAATTCGTGGGGGTTGAAGGAGCAAGCTGCCAAGGAGCGGAGGATGAAGAAGAGTGCTTGATGCAGAAAAGTTTTGTGGCTCATCTCGATTACATTTACACAAATGACAGCCAGGGCGGAAATGGCCGTTAGCATACTCCTTTTCCATGCCTCAATGTATCTAGGTGCAAAATAAACTATGGAAACGGGTTATATATGAAAAACGTTTTCATTTACTTACTTTTGCGAGTTGGAATTGTGTTACAAATCAAATTCATTCGCTTTGTGCTACCAACTACCAACCTTTTGGACTTGTGTAATTATTCCACAAACAAGAATACCGGACTTAATTTGCCACTTGAAACGAACTCTGAACAAGAATTTATTTGCACTATCAGTAAAAGATAAAATTGAAGTTTAAAAACTGAAATTCGAAGTCTGACAGTGTATACACTATCATCATTTGATTCATGACATGTGTGCAAATTCAAATTTTGCATAGTTATCATTTATCCAACGCTGATAGTGTATACACTGTCAGTGTAGGAAAAATTAATCCATATTTAAATACTAAATTTGATGCATTTGAGTATATGTCACATTAAGTGATAAATTAATAGCTTATCACTTATTTTTTAGACCAAGTTTTATCTAAAAAATTTAATACCGTTTAATTACTTCAGATGTTCTATTTTTTGTTATCAAATGCAACCAAACATATTAAAATCTAAATCCATTAAATTTAAATACTAAATTGAATTATTAAATAGGGCTCGTACCCAATTCGGTTGATAAAAAGATGTAAAAGGGTCTCAATTAAAAACAATAATGGATCCAAATATATGGTATGTTGGATCAAATTAAAATGAACCAAATGTGGGTATGCACCTAGTAAGCAGTAAAGAAGAAGTCTAAAGCAAACACTTCTCTGTTTGGATGTGTCTCAGTGAATTTACTAATTCTAAGTAATAATTTAATGTTCCATTGACGAGCAACAGTCAAAAAAGTGAGCAAGCAATCAAAAAGATTAGAGAGCCTGACCACCCGTCAACAACTGATCGCCTTAGATTCTATCCATCTCAACCCAATAATTTCTCCACATGTTCCCTCAGAAATCCTCTATATATATGTCCCTCACTCCATTAAACAAACATCTCTTGCATTTCATGTCCTATGAAAATAGTGGTGGCTTCCCACGAACCAAGAATTATTAGCTCACCATTCTCGTCCCAGAGGAGAGCCCCCCAAACAAAAAAAAAAAGGGGGAGGATGAAGTTCAACAGTCTTTTCATGGTGGCCGTCCTGTTCTTCTCCATGCTAGTTACTACAAGTCTTGCTCGTACTGAACCTTCTCTGATGAAAACCCAGTACAAGGCAAGTCGAATTCTTTTCATTTTCTAACTCTGTTTCATTTCTCAAGGCCTCTATTGTTTGCTTCACTTTTGTCCTCCTCCTGTTTCATCCATAAACTAACTAAATTCTTTTCGTGGTTTTTTCTCCTTTCTCTTTCAGTTTTCTTTTCCCTAAAATAATTTCCCTTGTTTTTTTGGGGTTCTAAAACATTTAAATATGCACACATAGGATGCTGAGAGAGAGGAGAAGAAGAATAATTTTGGGACTGAAGAAGTAAGCTGTCAAGAAGTGGACAAAGACGAGTGTTTGATGCGGAGGACGCTGGTGGCTCATACGGACTATATCTACACTCAGAACCACAATCCGTGAACTAAAGCTTCTAAATTAATTTTTCTGTATAATTTGAATAGACCGCACGTATATCAAAAAAGGGCTTAGTAGTTGAAATCAATCATCCAAGAATGGGACAAAAGGGCTAGTAGTTGCATTATTCATGTTGTGAATTTTATGATGTAATGTCCATAAATAATGATTTTCAACCTATACAAAACTGTACTGCTATGTATTGCACTTAGTGCCAAGTATGTCAGACGTGTTCCATCTTGGTGTGCTTCTCCCTTTTTTTTTTTTTTTTTGATATATAAATTGTGTTTACTATGTACTAAATCCTAGCAATAATTTCATTAAAGAATATTCAGCAGCTTATAGTACTGAATTGCATATGCAATTTATAGTACTACCATTTTCAATCAGTTTCCACTAAATAAGACTTCATTCAATAATTCGTTGCCTGTCGATTTTGAATACTTTATAAAGAGAGGTTATGGAGGAGGAGGAGCTAATAATTGGACTAGAAAGGCAAAAGAATCAAATTTTAGGTTGTGTTTGGATTGCATTTTTCATGATTTTTCATGAAAAAATTACTGTAGCGATTTGATGTATGTGAGGAAAAAAGATAATAGAGAAATGTGATTACGGAAAACGACGTAATTTTCCGACGGAAAACCGCAATCCAAACAAGGCCTTAGTTGTCCAAAAAATGAGATAGTAAATATGTCACGAACTGGATGTTGGTGGGCTTATGAAGAGGAGTTCAACCGACTCCAATGTTGCCTGTCTCAGATTTGATTGTCCATTTACATCACCACTACTTGAATCAAAGTTTTGATTTCCAATCTAACAGAAGAACCCAAAAAAAAAAAAAAAGAAGAGCAGGAGTCCTATGATGTGGTTTGAGACTTTAGAGTCGGGGTGTCAATTGGGATTTATGAGTCGGATTTTGATAAGTTCAAATTCGACTCATAAATTATATGAGTTTTTGAATTTCAAACTTTTGAGTTTCGAATTTAAATTAAGTTTGATCTAACTCATAATTAAATATAATTTATAATTATGAATCACTATAATTTATATGTAAATTATTAACATTTTATATCATAATATTTATAATTATAATATATATATATATATCGAGAGACACGCACATACAATTACACTTATATGTGGGCCTAGCCTAATATACTTCAAATTTGACTCACATTTAGTTCGGATTAAATAATTAGACTCAAACTCTATTTGACCTAATTAAAATTTAAGTTCAATGAACTTTTTTCTAGTCGAATGAGCTGAGCTCGAGTTGGCCAGCACCGTTGACAGTCCTACTTTTCGAGTTGATGATAAATGAGAGAGCACGTCAAATGTTCCACTGCTTTTGACAAGAAAAGAATATTGTTTGCTCATACCGCTTCTAGATATTAAACAGTTGGAAGACTCGCATGGAAATTTCTTAGGGATACATGCACCATTTGATCTGATGAGGTCATCGTTATGCAGCTTCACATTCATCCGTCAAAAAGCCTTGGAGTGGGGAGTGGAGTACACTTCGTATGGAGTAATCATGTCCGAGAATTCAAAGCTTCATCAAGCGATTTAGACACGACCAAAAAGAGACAACATGGAGAAAGAAAAAAAGCCACTAAACCTTTTGGTCCAAATTCTAGAAGTGCCAAAATCTGCCTCACATTCCGTGTATAATGACGACTTGCTTTGCCAAGAGCATGATTCTTTCTCCAGTGGTCGGACAGAAATTGTTCATCAATAGCCCAACCAATAAGCTAAAATCAATTTGAACAGATATTTCATCTCATCTGCTACACACAGTCTATGATCGTGAGGAACACGTTGAACGACAATTAAGTTGCGAATTGCCCAATCAAGACAGAATTGAGTGGTTTCTTGTACCCACAAAGAAAATTAGCATACATCTTAATAGCAAATGTCACATCTTTGTTTTAAAAGTTGACACACCAGAGAAATGCAATAAAATGACAATAGAACATCACCATTTTTCCTTCTTCCTTTCACATCTTAATTTCTACCACCAGGTCCCCCCCCCCCCCACCCAGGACTAGAGGAGGAGCTTCTCTCCTTAGCAAAGCCCATTTGTCCTGCAAAACAGGAGAAAACAGCCAAATATGCCATTAATCGATTACTTGTCATGGCAAACAGAGGAAAGATGTGGCATGCTGTTTCTTTCAAGCTAATAAAGTATTGAGTCAAGAAGAATAGTTGCAGCTACTACTCCACGTAGACAAGTTCTGTAGATAGAAGGCGTTTTCACTTAGTTCTGAATTTCTAACCAAGTCCTGTTCTCTGACCATCACAAGATCGAGATTTTGTCTTGCTTTAATAATTAATGATTCCATTTTTCCAGGTAACACATTAGTATAACTATATACTAACAACGTTTACCTCCAGGTTAGGGCTCTCAACAGTAATCAAAACTTGGCTGTTGCTAGGACCAGGTGTCGTGTGAATTTCCAATTCAGACAAGAGACTGAAGTGCACTGAATGATGGAACAGACCAGAAAGGGGAAAAAAGAACCTTGGAATGAACCTTCGGCAATGACATCAGTTTCAACACTGGACTGCATGAACTGCAATTTCAGTCCAAAATAACCATAAGCTTTCATACGCACCACTGGATTAAAGCTTGTCTTCTCACTTGCTAGCATGAAGGAGACGAGTAAATGGAGAGATGAGTCAGTGCAAGAACTCTTCCTTCTTCAGCAAATTTGAAACCTCAAAAACCACACAAGTGATATTGGACAAACATTAGTCTCAGGTGATGTGTTTCTTCGTAAAACATGAAATCTCATAGATTACTTTCCTATTTTCTAACACTCATAACATGTCTTTCACAGGAGAACAGAATCACCTGAAGTAGAGCAGTGGAATCTAAGAAATCATTACCTTCAGTTAGTCTCCACCATTTACTTGTTCATGTCTAATGTATTTTGATGATCAACTGAATCAAAAGGGAAAGATAAAACAGGAAAGTAGGCACAGATTTTGTTCAAAGACTTCTCTTTGATAAAATATATAATTTTATTGTAAAAAACCAATGCAGAATGGTTATCTGTGCTCAAAGCACCAAATCAGCATCGTTGGCACAGGATGAAAAAATACAGTAATTAAAAGGAAAATCAAACTTTTAGGCAATTCACAAATGAAGTGACAAAGGGGTATAACTATATAAAAATGACACAGCAATGCATCACATACAAAATACTTTAAGACAATATGATGACATCTGAAAGTCTTATCCAAATTTTGTCTAACACGTTTTACATTCCTCAAATGCTGCTAGTGATGAATCTTTGCACCAGCCGAATTATCTCTGATTCATCTCGTAGGAAATCTCCTTAAGTCTCAATGTCTGATGGATTAAACATTTTCCCAGTTGACATGGTTCTTATATGAAATCAGCAGATTGGTATTTGGCCACACAGACAGAAGAAAAGATTGTAAACATGAATTAATACTTTAAAGTAAAAGTATCATAAAAG